TCCACCAGCCATCCTGTCACTGCATTTGACATTGCAATAGTCCTCGCGTCCCACGTCGCCTGTAATTCACTCCCGACCGCGGTAATCTAACGGAAGTTTCACGAAAAACCCCATCTTTCTTGGTGGATACACTCCGAGTTGCAAATTGCGTATGAAATATCGTGAATTGCGTCTTCGAGGAAATGTTGGCCTTTCGGATAAACAACGAGTATGTGCGACGAATTCAGCAACGGTCCGATCCAGTTGTAGTATCGCTTTGATACACGCAAATCGCTTACGAAGAAAACGGAATCTGCGAGCGAAGAAAACATACGACGCGAATGGACGGCCGATCTCGCGAAATCTTTTGATGCGTGGGCAAAGTAATCTGTGCGAAATTCTCACGTACAACACGGAATATCCCTAATGTAACGTTTCGATGGGGCAGCGTAGTGGGCTATAATATAGCTCCGCAATATTTTTGCGCATAACATCTCCGCAATACTTTTGCGAAGACAATTCCGCAATGTTTTTGCGGAAAACAACTCCGCAATACTTTTGCGAAAACAATTCCGCAATATTTTTGCAGATAACAGCTCCGCAATACTTTTGCAAAGCAATTCCGCAATACTTTTGCAGATAACAACTCCGCAATATTTCCGCGAAGTTCGCTCGCGACTCTTCCGCAAATACAATCAGGCAAAACCTATCAAATTAATAATCGCGAATGCGAGCGTGAATGAAAAATCAAAAACTATGAAAATTGTGACGATAGAAATAAAGATTCTGGTCAAAAATAAAAATGTAGCTTCACTCAAATGCAATGCAAATGCAAATGAAATGCAATGAAATCAAATGTATTGAAGTATATTCACAATTCACACGAAAAAAATGTTACCGCGTGAGACGTTTGTCTTCGTTCGATGGAATTTGTCACGTGTCGCGTAAGTAAACAAACAACTGCTCGTATGTCTGACTTGTGTACATCATGTTTCTCGCGAGGGATCAACACTAGCATTGTCTCTATTGTGTTCCGCTTTAGGAAACTCACTCTAAGTGAAAAATTGAAACCTGAAAATTTTCCGACGATCGTGAAATTAATTTTGCGAGCAGTCTATATAATTACGTTAGATCGCTTCGCGCAGGTGCCGCACGATATCGAATTTTACTTAATAACGAAGCACAAACTCTATTTTATGAAATGCAGTCGCGATTCAACTTCATGCGAGAGAGAAAATTGAGAAAATTAACGACCGGCGAGAGATCTATGACACAGGTGATGTGATTGTGCATTTTTTGTGGCGCAATCCCTTTGCGCGTTAGCGCAATCTTTTTGCGTGTTGGCTCACTGCTCGAAACACCTGGAAGTTCGTATTCAATAAAACTGAATAATTCTATAAAATTTTGAATGTTCAGAGCGTATACTCAATATTTTAGCCATCTACCAGATAGTGTTGGGGTTTGATTAATCAAAATTTTCTCTGAAAAGAATCCTCGACCAATCAATAATCCAAGTTAATCAATTAATAAATATATATACATTGGGAGAAAAATACTTGAAAATTTATTTGCTAATTTTATGTAAAATATGCATTATCGCTAATATTATTATTTGAAAAAGCGATCTTCTAATTGTTTCGAGCAATTTGATTTTTATCAGACGGCACGTACACATACTACAACAAAAAGCAAAGTAAATCGCATTGATTCTATAAGCATGCACTACATCGAAAGACTTTTTGTCTTTCTATTACCAATATGTTTTTTGTTTTGACTCACCAAACCGCCGATCAGGGTAGCCACATTCTGCTTTCGTTTCTGGAAAATGCCATTTCGCCGATTAGATTCGTGTATTGACGACGATTTGAGTGAAGAAGTTTGAAAGATTAAAAAAAAAATAAACGCAATATTTTTTACGCTGGAAAAATTTTTCGGAATGCATTTATACTTGGAATATTCCATTTTCCTTTTTCTTGACGTTGCAAATAAATCTCTTAATCAGAACAAATAAAAATTTTTTAAGTAGTGATGTTACTCAGAAATTATTCTCCTCGCGTGTAATTACAATTTAACGCGATCTTTGATTCGATTCAAATTATCTCGATTTCGAGCATGAGAATTATAAATCTTGTCTGATTTCTAATTACAAATGCTAATTAATGAAGCACCTTCGAGTTAACCCCGTTCGGCTCGAGCCAGAAGAGCTCGACCGCGAAGTTTCTCTAACAAGTAAAAAAGTAAATAAAACGTGATAATTACTTGTCGCGGTAAAGCCCGCAACACCTGCTTGCGTGAGCAGTACGCATCTTAATTTGTCTTAATTATTGCCTCAATTGTCTCGAAGTCAAAACGCGGTATTAAAAATCGGTGCGGAATAATCTATAGAAAATAACGTGGCAACTCCCAATGCGATCGCTTCGACGATTGATAGTGCTATGATGTGATACTCGAGCACACGCAGGCGTGTTTGCATGACCCGGCTGCGCGCCCTCCCCCCTCAGAGCTGCTCAGTCAACGGCCCAAGCGGAACGTTACGACGGTCGATTTACCTAATCGTTGTTGAGCCTAGAGTTTTTGTTAGAGTTGTTACCCAGGTATTGTTATTACCGATTATTCAATCATCAATATTTCTTTATTATCCACTCACGGATATTATCACACGATTGTCGAGCAGATATTATTATCACTACTATTTAATATTCGAGCATTATTATTTCTTTATTCAGTTATTATTTAATTATTGCTATTACGCATGGGAAAGCAACTCGGGCGTGCCGTTACGACAATTTCTTTACCTTGTTCTTATTCAGTTATTATTGCCGTTGCCCAGTTATTGTTACTCATTATTATTACCGATTATTCGATCATCGTTATTCCGTTATTATGTACTGGCGGATATTATCACACAATTATCGAACAAATATTATGTATTATAGATACGGTGGGTTGCTCGAAGAACGATTAGATTTACAGAAACCTTCTTATGCAATCTCCTCGACAGTATCTCCAGATGAGATATCATCGTTACGTTTTGGGAGGAATTTTGGGTGATTTTCATAGTATCGTAAAAAAAATAATTGCAAACATTACCAGATTGATAGTTACATTGTGCTAATAATTAGCAATATTTGCGGTGACCGTCGATCGTTATACTCGATTGCTCGTAGCCTTCTGCTAATGTTTTGATAATGGCACAATGACGATAGAACACGATCTCGCTGCTTCGCGAGATACATGACATCATTTGATATAAATATTATGCGCTCGCGATTAAGTATTTTCTTACGACCGTGACGCTTATCGAGCGAAACAAATGCCGATATGTTTTAAGATACGGCAGTTAAGCATGCTCAATGTTCCACGTTGGCTTAGCGCAAGTGGAAATGTGAAAGTACAAAAAAAATAACCCATTAACACGAAACCTAAAAAAAACCGCGCTATTTTAGAGCGAACGAAGGGGGATTTTATCTACTCATTATAAATACCAACCCTTCGTCATATAATATCTTCGATAAAATCGTTATCTGCATGTATCTAGAGATAACTGATAGCGCACTAAATGATAATGGTTTTTCAGCCGACATAAATACTTTCCGCTCAGCATAAAAATATGATATTAAAAAATTATAGACAAAAATAAATGAAATTTGAACGAGTATTATTTCGTGAAAAATTACTGTAGGAATATCTGTCTTTTTAGTTTAAAGTATCTACTTTCTTTTTCTCTCTTCTCTCTCTCTCTTTTTCTTTCTTTATTGTTGGATTTTTGTTTTACAACATTTTCACCAAATTATCCTTTCAAAACGTAATATTTACAGAAAAAATTGTGTATTTCGGCAGAATCGCCATAGAACCGGCAAACAATTTTTTTATGAATTTCATTTTCAGGATTATAAATATTGGCTTTTTCGCTTCAATTTAAAGAAAAAGAAATTATACGTCTGATTTTTTCGCGATGTATCACGTACGCGCACATACACATATATCCTCTCTCTCTAAAATTATCCATATATTTTCATCATTTACCGCCAGCATTAGCCCATGAGTACTGCGGGTAGGTTGCTGGTTGTATTTTGCGCATTCTGTGTATCTGTGTGTAATACGTCAGATTATATGTAAATGTGTAAATTTGCGTGGGTGTTAAATGTGTAAAATTGAGTTTTGAGATTTAATATTCCTCTCTCGATATGTGACCAGTTCTTCAGCCATTTATATTGATAGAGACCCTTAGCTTTCGCCCTTAGGAATTTCATTTCATATTTCTATTAGCACCTTTTCGAATTCTTGTAGATTGGCTGATGGCATGTCTACACTTTTGGGGGGATAGTGAGGCCAAGATGTTATAAAACAAAAATCCAATAGCTCCATACACGTCATCTCTGCAACTGGATGAAAAAAGATATTCGATAACTTTTCACGGAATAATGTTCATTCAAATTTCACTTATTTTTGCCTATAATTCCTTCATGCTATATTTTCTTTTGATTAGCACAGATCGTGTCTGTATTCGTAGTACTTGCGATTACGAAATGCAATCGCGACGAAGGTCACACGATATAGACGCCTTCGCGTATTCTTCCATTTCCCCGATGTCGCACGTCTCTTGCTCTTCCTCCTCCCTTGCATCTCGTCGCACCAAACTCGAAAGAGAGTTTGCGATCGAGGCGTGAAGTCAGCTGAAACATGCGAATTCCTGACGATCGTTCCGGCGTGCACACGGTGATGAGAGATTTAAAGATAAAACGGAGAGAGACTACGCCACAGTCCAGGAGGACTGGTTTATTCCCACTTGACCGTGAGGCTCCCGGGGACCAAAGTGATAAAATTTAAGTGGCGCAGGCTAAGGTCGTTACCACTATCGTACGCGCGTATCGTTCTCCGCGTGTTCCTGCGATCGCCAGTAGACGATGACCACTCGGTGGAGTCGCATCGTTCCTCGCCGATCGCGCACGTGAATCGCTCACTAGCCTCTGCCCGCTCGCTCTCTCGTTCACTCGTCCGTTCGCTCTCGCGAGACAGACATGCGGCACCGAACGTCATCGTCGACGATCGTCCTACTCCTGCTGGCCGCCTCGTCCTGGCGGGCCTCCTCCTTGCACTCGGACTCGGGCTCGTGGTTTCAACCAACGAAGGGCGAAATCTGGCCCATGCCGAAATCGCGAGTGCTCAAGGAGGATTTCTACCTTCTGCGGCCGTCTAACTTCGACATCCGAGTAAGTTGGCCTTTCCATCTTTTCTCTCTCTCTCTCTCTCTCGAAGCGAAGTTCACATTAAAATTGCATGAGTTTCTGCTGCCACTGATTTGAACTGGCATGTCAGATTCATAATTGATATTCCTCGACACTGCTTCTCTGACACACTTGATAACAACAGCTTGTCATGACAGAGAGAAGAAGATAAGAAATTGCGGAGTCTTTTCAAACAACGTCGATGTTGCTGAGCTTAACCTATATATTGAATTGATCCCTAAGTTCGTGCGGATTTTTGTCCAGCGTGTGTTGCGGAATCCGCATGTTGATATTAGAAGAATAATTTCGTACAGTTGGCTATCTATGCGTATGTTTTAATAGCTTTGACATTTCAGAGCTTATTTTGTGGTATAAATGGTAGCGTTTAAAAACACACAGTTGTCTTCGTTGAGGCTTGAAAACGGAAGGCAGTAATGAGCTTTTCCGGTGCATTATGCCTTTTTACTTCCGTAAAAGTTGCTAGAGTTCGGTTGGGATGTTTTGCCTCGCCCACCATATTCACCCGATGTTACCTCCACCGATTATCATCTGTTTCGCTCATTACGGAACTCCCTTGACGGTATCAACTTCGCTTCTTTAAAAGATGTGAAAAACCACTTGGAACGTTTCTTTGTCGTAATTTCACAAAACAAGAGTTTTACAAGAGGAGAATTGTGAAATTACGTGAGAGGCGATAAAAAGTTGCCCAACAGAATGGCACATGTACTATTGGTGAAAATTGCTTTTAATAAGAATTAAATATATTTCAATTTTGTTTAAAAATTCGCACGAACTTATGCCAATATAAATTCTATTATCTGTGTATAATTGTATAGTTCTTAATTTCTTTATTTTTTCTTAAATCAGAATTATGTGAACGTCACTCATCATCATTGCCAATGTTTTTTCTGTTGCGCTTTAGGGAACATTTCCGAACGCATAATGAATGTCTCTCTTCCTCTTTTCTACAAAAATATAAATAAATAAATAAATAAATGAAAATGATTTAGACGGTCCATTCGCGTTTTTTCGTTTGGCACGCGACGACTCTCCGAAGCGTGCACTTATGCGAAATTGTCGAGAGGAATTGACGGATTCCCGTCACATGTTTGTCGTTTTCAATTTCGCCGCAGTAATTTCTTGACAGTTACCAAACGGACTTTGCATGCGCACGCGATGCGACCGTTTTTCTGTTATTTCGTCGAATCTCCCGGATGGAACGACGCTCCGCTCGCGATTTCACGTGTTTTGCACCGCGGCGATCGTACCTTCGCTTTTACTCCTCTCCCCAATATTGTTCACCCTTTTATACACCAAATATCGCGATAATCTACGGTAAGGCCAACGTAAATTGTTATCTCACAGCTTCTGCGGACCGCACTGTCGCGTATCTCATGGAATTTTAGAGGACGCTACTTCGACTCGTTCATATCTTGTACGGTATTTTTCTTTTCGCTGTCAGGTAAGCGGCGAGACGTGCGATATAGTGACCGAGGCGATAGAACGGTATACGAGAATCATCTTGACGGAAGCCAGAATAGCCAGGCTGGTCACGGAGGGGCAGCCAAGAACATCCGTCCGAGACGATCCTCACTTCAGGGGCACTCTTGAGGCCCTGAGCATCCACCTTTTGCAGCCTTGCGAGCAGAATGGCGAGCATTGGCCGCACTTGCACATGGACGAATCCTGTGAGTTTATACATTATAAAAAGAAAAGAAGAGAGAAACGGGCCGAAACGAAAAGAGCGCTGAAGAAGCTGCATCTTCAGCACCGAACGCGATTTTCTGATCTTGCAATTTCGCGTGACTGGAAACTACACGAATCGTCCCTACGTCTGGTTATTCGCGTGCTCTTACATTTCGCGTTCAGCAACACATCGACTCGTTTATTTAGCCGATGTTGAAGGAAAGAGCTGCATTTTTCGACTATAAATTCTGCACGATTGGAGCGCGTGTTTCACGCGTAGCGGCGCGATGAGGTTGCACACTTCCCATACATGGCGTGCATTGCAAAGTAGTAAGTAGTGCACCAACAAATTAACTGGATGATGCCAGTGGGCGGTTCGTAGTCGTAACCTCGATATGACACTCGCCCATTTGTGTCGATAACGGGTTTTCGCGTGCGCGTGAACTGAATCCCTGCGATTCCTAATACTGTCTCCTCTCTCCTATCGGTGATCTAAACCGGTTTATCAAGTCAATTCGATAATGCCTGACGGTTTGCATTAAACAAACGGTACATTGATTGAACAGCAAGAAATAGCGTACGGTGAAAAGAGATTGGTTGAATTAGGGCGACAATGAACGTGGCGTTTCGTTGAAGGAAATAAAGTTCTAGTTCTTAGAACCGAATATGGCCTCTATTAAGCTTCGTTTACGTATAAAAAGGATTTATTTTCCGTTAAATAGATAAATAAATTATAAATTTTATTTCTAAATACCAGAAATTTCTCGTTTCCTTCAACTAAAACGCTTTCAAATCGTTCAATCAATCAAACTTTTTGATCTGTGCAATAATTTCTTTCACATATCTTGTGAACATAACATGATGGAAAATAACAATTCGTTGATGTAATCACAATATTATGCGAAATATATATATATATATATATATATATATATATATATATATATATATATATATATATATATATATGCGAGACTATATACACTTAAAAAACATAATCTTATCTTTAGCAGAATCCCCTTATATATGGTGTTTACGTTGTTCATCGTAATGTATTCGCTATTTTTTACTAGTTGCAAAATGATCGGTCAGAAGAAGATTCTAAATACAATTAATCAGTTTTTACACGGACAATAAAAAGCAATAATAAAAATTTCGAAAATATTCTTTTTCGTAAAAATATCAAGATTATTTTCACTTTTTAGAATGTATATCCTTTTTATCCGTGATACTGTAAAAATGATCAAAATAAATTCATTAGTAATTCATAAATAGTTTTATTAACATTTAATAATGAAAATGCTGACAGAAGACACGATAATGTTTGGAATGTAATAGATAATATCAGTTATTCACAGGACATGTTCGTATGTAATGAAAATATAATCTATTTTCTGCAATACAAAGTTTTGCTCTTTGTAATAGAGATTTATATGTCGTATTAATTATGGGATATTTCAATTTATATTTCCACACGCTTGGGATAAAATTCTTCATTACTATTTTACTGCGCTCCTTTTTACTCTGAAATAGCAATAGAGATAACATTATGAATAACTGTTGAATTTATTTTGATTCTCTTGACAACATTACGGATAAAAAGAGAAAATTTACCTATATAAAACTAAAAAGAAAATATTCTGATTCCATATTCTTAAAATTAGAGGAATTTTTTAACTATAAATTAGAGAAATCTTTCTATATCTATAGTACAAGTTTTGTTCTTATATATTAATAGAAATTTCTTCTAGTTAAAGGGAATTTTGCTTCAAGTAAACATATTCTTCTTGATTCAAAACAGAAAAACAATAATATATAATATATATTTAGCAGATTTTCAATGAATAGTTTTCTTCATTGGGAGAAAAATTTTACTCTTTCGGTAAGAGTTTTGCTTAGAATATGGAATGGAAGAAAACAGCATCTTACAACTAGAGTTCTTTTTTAGATGTTAAAAGGCTTTCTTTTTAGTTTTTTTAGAAGCATCCTCTTGAGTATGTATATGGAGAAATTCCGCTGAGAATAATATTATATTTTTCTTGAATATAATTTTTTACACACCTACGTACGTATCATAGATCAACGCGATTTTAGTTTAGATCCGACAGTTGATTCCTCGCGTTATCCGGCCATATCTGAGAAGCCTTGAAGCCTCTCGACGATCGATCGTTTAGTCGCGCGACGAGAATTACAATTAATTTACTCCGATTAATCCAAGGCGATCGCGCGGTGACGCGGAGTGACGAATGCGCACTGAACGCAAGATTTTCGAGCGAGTTAAGCAATGGTAGCGTAATCAGCGAAACGATTGAAACGAGGACGGACAATAAGACACAGCTCGAGATCTGCCTTCTGGTTTCTTATCGGCCCGAGTCGTGAGGTAATGCCGCGTCGTGAGGTCGTAACCGGCGATTAGCGAGCATAATTCTACGATTTTATCCGCGCTCTTCCTCCTCGACTGAATCGATTTAATGTCGCTGTTGACGTACGCGAACGATTTTTTCAGATAAGCTTGAAATAAACGAGACATCGCAGGTCGCCGTTCTCCGGGCCGAAGCCGTCTGGGGAATACTACGAGGACTCGAAACCTTCTCGCAGGTGTTGGCTCCGTCCGGCGACGGTCCAACCGTGAGTATCTGAACGTTTACTCTACCTGATTGTAAGCAAGGAACTTTTGGACATGCATTGGCCCGAAAAAGATTTATTGAAATTTGTAAAGTGGGACGATTTCATGAAAAGTCACATATAATATCGAAATCTGAAAATCCAGATAATCTCTCGAAATACAATTTTATTGAAATATTCGAATTGTCTCGTTGTACACATAAGGGAGATAGAGACTAAGTGGCCCCAGATGTATGTTGCTTATGTATTTTTAGTTATCTTGATAGGAATAGTGGGTACAAAATTGCGAAATGGTTCTTTTAGAATAAAAAAAAAACTTTTCCTTAGAATACAAAAATGCCTCTCCCTGAGTTTTATTAAAATCGAAATAATATTACAGTTAAGAAATTGAAAAAAATTGATTTAATAATAGCGAAGTAAATTATCGAACCTTTCGAAATTTTCTATTAATATTCTTTATCATGACTAAATAAAATTAAGCGATGTGTTATCAGCTAGAATAAAATTCTTGCAACCATAAGATATATAGATGTTTCTAGTAATAAATGGAGTTTCTGATTAGAAAAAGCATGTTTCTAATTAGATAAAGCATGTGGGCAGACGAAGTAAAGTTGGCCCATAATTAAGAGGACTTTCGGCAGGAGGACTATGGAGAACTTTCGCAAAGACTTTAGGCATGTCTGGCTTGACAGTGCATTTTTTATTGCTCTGATAGTTGCTCTATGAAATAATTGTATATTTCAGAAAAACTGTATTTCGAGATTTTGATATTTTGAGATATGATTTTTTTCGGAAAAATATCTTAGTTTCCAGATTCTTATTTTTCGGGACAATGTATGTATGAAGTGTTGTGACGGTCATCCGTATCGTAGATATTCTCGAGAATGGCGCATACAATTTTTCTATAGTGTTATTGACTTAGCCGCGTTCGACTTTCGTCGACGAGAAAGTAACACATCCACGGAGAAAAGCACGTCTATAAATTCGCTCACGTCGAGCTTCCTGTACGAAGGTCGACATTTTGGCAGGCGATCGGCTTCTCGCTCGGGAACGAGCCGGCAGGCGTGACGTTAGCTTGATCGTGCGTTTCAGTTGAAAGTGAAATGCCAGACCATCGTGGACCAGCCGAGATTGCCGCATCGAGGTCTCCTGTTGGACACCTCTCGCCATTATCTACCTATATCCGACCTCCTGTTGACACTGGACGCAATGTCGTACAACAAGCTCAACGTCCTGCACTGGCACATCGTCGACGACAATAGTTTCCCGTACCAGAGCACCAGGTATCCCGACCTGTCCGCCAAGGGCGCTTTCCATCACTCGATGATCTACACGCCCAACGACGTGCAGAAAGTCGTCGATTACGCGAGACTACGCGGGATCCGAGTGATGCCCGAGTTCGACACACCCGGACATACCAGATCGTGGGGGCTGGCATATCCGGAATTGCTGACTGCATGTTACGGTAAATAAATGAGCATGGACACGCGACTTGGTTTACGAGTCGCGCGTCGTTACTCCCACAAAAGTCGCAGATCCGTGTTTCCGTTCAACCCCGAAAAATGTTACGAAAATATATAACGCGCGCGCAAGACGAATGACTTCTGAAATCGAACGACTTCAATGTCTTAACGCTAAATTTACGATTACATTCTACATCGAGAAAACATTGTAGGGAAAAATTACAACAAAATTACAACAATTACAACAAAATTTTTGTCCATCTTAGACCAATTTTGGACTACGCAGAAATTATGACAATTATAAAAACAGTTATTAACAACTTGACAATTATTGAAATTATAACAATTGCAATAAAATTACAACAATTACAACACAATTTTTCTGAGCGGAGGATACTTTTAGTATGTATAAGCTATGAAACTCTTGGATTAGGCAAGTATTACATTAACTGCTAATTTGAGATTTTACGTTTAAAATTTTTTTGTTCATTTTCGTCACATATTAAGTAACTCACACAACACAACGTCTAAAATCAGGATATAAGGCGTTTGAAAGACATTTGAAAGACTCTCAGACGTTGGAATATAAGACGTCTTTATATTTTTAAAACATCTTTAAAATGTCTTTAAGACGTCTTACGTCCCGGTTTTAGACGTTCTGTTGTGTAGGAATGTTCCTAATCATTTTTGCGCGTAAAAGCATATGTAATTCTGTAATTCTGTACAACGTAAACCAATACGACGTAAACTTTGCAGAAAAATGTCAGTGTTCTGTCGGTAAAGTTTTCAGCAACCCCTGAAACTTATTAACATTCAACGGTGAGAATCGCGTTAATTAGTCTGTTTGTGTGTGTATTAGACTCAAACGGCAAACTGAACGGTAAACTGGGCCCGATGAACCCGACGAGGCCGGCGCTATACGAATTTGTGCGCAATTTGTTCTCCGAGATCGTGCAAGTGTTCCCCGATCAATACGTCCACCTGGGCGGCGACGAGGTGCCCTTCGATTGCTGGGCCAGCAATCCGGAAATTATTACGTACATGAACATGCACAATATGTCCAACAGATACGAGCTCCTGGAAAGCGAGTACATAACGAACGTGCTTGCGATCAGCAAGTCGTTGGACGCCAAAACCATCGTCTGGCAAGAAGTGAGTAATTTACTATCTATACTCTGACTTTTTTCTACAACTTCTATATTTTTCACTGCAACTCCTTTATTTCTCAACAACCGAGAGCAGTTCCCTCTTTTCGCTTTTATCGCTCTCATTATTTATACGGAGAAAATGTTGTAGTAAAAATTATGTTAAAATTTCTTTTTACAATAGATTTCACATAAATTACTGTACACTCAGAAAAATATAGGGCTACTATATAGGTGGCAACGTTTGACAAGCTTTCTATGTAGAATTATTGTATGTAATTTAACAAACTATTTTGCGCAGTTATTACTAAATCTATTATAATAATTAGTTCTTAATTAAATTATTACTGAAATTATGTACTACAGCTTTAATTGACATAATTACAAAATAGTTTATTAAACCATATGCATCACAATTCTACATACGCAATTCGTGTATCGTTCATCACTTGTATTGTTGCCATCACCATATTTTTCTCTGAGCTTAGAAATAGTAAATTTGACGATCTATCTGGATATAGGATACAAGAAACTTTCAAGTAATTACAATCAAACGGACATAACATATTTAAACAAATAATAGTAATTGCGATTATAATCGCGTGTATGGTCCAAGATTACAAAAATTTTGTTGCAATTTTTGCTACAATATTTTCTCCGTGCACGGATTCTATTCGAGCTTATTTGGGCCTCGTAGGTGTTCGACAACGGCGCGGTGTTACCCACGAACACTGTCGTCCACGTCTGGAAGATACCGCGTTGGCAGAAAGAGCTGGAAAGAGCGACAATGGCCGGCCACCCGGTTTTGCTATCTTCTTGTTGGTACTTGGATCACATTGCCGGCGGCGGCGACTGGACCAAGTATTATAATTGCAATCCTTTCGATTTCGTCGGCGCGGCCAATGTCACGCAACTCATGCTCGGCGGTGAAGCTTGTATGTGGGCAGAATTCGTGGATAGGTGAGTGTTATGCTTCTTTATCATGTTCGCTATCAGTTGACCTATTTTGCGATTCTCCACGCATATCTTACGTGTCATTTCACGTAGATAAAACATGTCACATAATAATAATAATGACGTTTCACGATAACGAGGAGACATGTAATTAATCAACCTGATTCAGAAGCTAATAGATAGCTAGATTATACTCCCTTATGATTATACACTGATATGTAAAATAGATATGTAGTTTTACAATCTAGCCGTTGCTTAGTCATTAGCTGTCAAATATGATAAAATAAATATGGGGTTGTCTCTATTTAAAACAATATTACCTAACTATTACATCGCCATTAGAATTTCAAAATTAGGCAGAAAGCTAGGATTGAAAATTTATGTTATTTCATAAAAATCTTAAAAAAGCAGAAATGAGTATTACATTATTGTCTGGTAAGTAGTTATTTTTTTCCTATTATAACTATAATTTTTTTGTTTGTTGCCATCAATTAACTTGTTTATCCAACCACTAGCAGACGTTAGCGTTATATTGTTAAATATAACGATGTTATAAATCTACTACTTTTTAGCTAGACACTCACGAGATTTTGTTTTTATTCGAGTTGCCGTTAAAAGTCAGAATATAAGCACACAGCGTTCACTTGGGGAAAAACTTCTCGAGAGACTATTTATATTTCTTTATGTAATCACTTTACAAAAGAAACAGGTTTATTCTGTTTACGTAAATATAGAAAAAAATAAGTTATCGCTGTCACGTATGCGTGATGCTGTGTGACGATATGTGTGATGATATATGTGTGTGATAGTGAACTTATATACTTCGTATACGAAGAAAAAAAATGATTAAATTAACATGACAATGATACAAAACTAAACATATTTTGATTGAGGCAAAATTTTTAGTTCTTATAAACCAGACTCGTTTCTTACATTAG